TATATATATATAAATTTTTTTTTGTTCAGTGCTGGGGATCAAACTCTGGCCCTAATGGATGCTAAGCAATCACTCTACCACCAAGCTATACCCCAGCTTCAGAAAATGACTTCTAAATCACCACTAACAAGAACAATAGCTAATACTTAGTGAACAACTACTATGGGCCAGTCAAATATCTAAATCCCCCCACCCCCTAATAAAGGTAATTGAAGCCAGGGTCTCACACATGATAGGTAAACGCTCTCCCACTGAGCTGAATACCCAGACCTTCTTATTTTATTCTGAGACAGGATCTCCCTAAGTTGTCCAGGCTGGCTTCAAACTTATGATCCTACTGCCTCAGCCTCCTGAGTTGTTGGGATTACAGACCCACACCATAGGGCCCAGCATGAAGATATGGGTCAATGAAGGAAGGTAAAGTTGTTTGTTAAAGGTCTTTATAAAATAGAGGACTTTGTGGGTGTGGGGTACAGGAGATGTAAGTTTGGAGAGACAGGAGAGAAAAGTAGTGCAATAAGACACTCAATGAAGATTCAAGGGAGAATAATAACTGAAGAAAGGAGTCAAGGCAAGGGGCAAAGAGGGAGGAGTCATTTTTAAGAAATGGTAATGAGGAACAATGTGGTAGATTGCAGGGTATAGAAGAAACTTAATCTTATGATTGAAAAACCTCGTGTTAATATCTTCTCATATAAGAACAAAAATCACTCATAAAAGGTATTCTTCAGTTTATCATTTTTATGTGTAAACAGTGCCTTCAAAATTGTCATTTTAATTTACATTTTTTGTATATACCACAATCCTTAGAAAGCTTTTGGGTCCTCCAGGCCAATAGGTATTTAACAATTAATTTATCCTCTAACATTGATTAAATATCTATTGTGTGCCAGACACACATTAAGTATCAAGAATAAAAAAATTGCTAAAGAGAGAAATGATTCCTTCTTCCTAGAGCTTATTTTTCAATAGCTGAAGCAAATTTTAAAAAGCACGAAAAAGTACCAAATTTTATAATAGAAAAAGTGTGGGTTGTAATATAAGGGCCTCACAGGTTTTTATTGGTGCATTATAATTATATGCATTAATTACATTATAATTACATATATATATAATTATATATAAATCGGTTTTCATTATGCCATATTCCTGGGTGAAGATAACATAATTTGATCATTCTCATTCTCCAGTAAATTACTTGGTTCTCTTAAACTATAAATCCAGCCTCAGGACCCTTCAAAAACCCTTCAAGGGTTTACCTAGCATGTACGAGACCCTGGCTTCAAGGCCTGACAGGTTTGGGAGGATTGGAGAAGGATTTCAGAGGAATTTATAATTAAGGTGAGACTCTTTAGAGACTCTTTTTACCAAGACAATAATCAGTGAAGAATACTAGTCAATTGGAGATGAAGTATCACAAAAATATTTTTAACTTAAAATTCACAAAAATAGAAATGTTTTATATCACCTACTTCAATCCTCCAATTGACTTTCTAACATTTAAAAGTTGTCCTTATCTTGTTATTCCACTGCTGACTTTGATTCTGTTGTCCTTTCAAAATATCTGTGTTATTGACCTGTGGTTTTGGATGTCTAACAAAAATCAGAAAATCTCATCTTTGGGTATCATGATGTCCACAGGGAAACGAGCATGAAAGTTAGCTTTAAAGAGAAGAGCCATTTACAGTCATTTCTTTTGGAATCTAACAGCTATATGGGCAATATGTTTCCCAAGTCCAAAGACACACTTTGTCATGTAGGTAAAGCACAGAATATCTCTAGGAAATTGGCACCAGTGTCCTATAAGGCTCAGGTTTTTCTTGAGAGAGTTTGGGTTTCATTAAGATTCTACCATTTCATATACTCTTAGGCACACTGTTGCACTGAAACAGGATGAATTGAACTGAAGCACATTTCCTAGGATGCAAAGATAGAAAGATGACCAGATTGCACATAGAGGTCTATTTTTGGAGTTGTCTTTATTTTTTTTCATTTTTTAAAAATATTTTTTAGTTGTTGATGGAGATTTATTTATTTATATGCGGCACTGAGGATGGAACCCAGGGCCTCACACATGCCTGGAAAGCGCTCTACCACAGCCACAGCCACAGCCCTGGAGTTGTCTTTAGAGGAAGGAAAATTAATGATGTTCCAGGGAGTTTATGGATTAATTGGTGAAATGATGGGAATTTTGAAGGGTCCTGGGGCTGGTTTATAGTATGAGAGAGCCAGATAACTTACTGGAGAATGAAAATGATCAAATTATGTTATCTGCACTAGGAATATGGCATAATGGAAACCACTTTATATATAATTATAATGTAATTAATGCATGTAATTACAGCGCACCAATAAAAACGTTTTAAAAAAGCAGTCTAAGATCCATGAGAATGACATTTCTTTCATGTCATCATTTTCCTGATCTTATGCCCTTCTGAAGTCCAAATCAGTTTAAATCCACATGAGCATGTAAAGATAGAGCATATTCAACAAGTCTATTTTTCTAATGTCAGTTATTAGCCCTCACTGGAGACATAATGGATTATATATCATATAATTTATATAATATATACTTTCTTACACATATATTTTCTTCCTGACACAAACAGTGAAATAGAGGTAGATGGAAAAGGAGCAAGAGGAGAGACCAATAAACTTAATGACTCAGTGAGGTAATAAGTATAGACTCAAAGAATCACTTAGTCTGGAATCTCTATTATAATGTGCAAGGACACTTTCTTAGAAAAGTAGTAATAATTTCATAAAAACTAGATATTTCTCCAAATGAAATAATAAGAGACTATGCACACCATCTAAAAACCCACCCACAAACAGCTTCTCTGTCTCATTCATTGGCATATATTATGAGTTACACAGAAGCCTGAGTGTAAAAATGACCCATCTCTCTCATGTGGGGTTTACACTGTCTTATGAGGGAAGAGGAGTCTGTGTCACAAATGCCCCTATTCTGAGACTCCGGGTGACTCATTCACAGAGAGTATTATTTGGAATTAGAAGAAACACAGCTTTCATATTCCTGTAATGTGACTCCTGCCCTCTCCATTCTACTGAACTTTCTCCTGCAAAGGCACCACTGATCTCACTATTGCCACACCTCTTCCTCTGTTCCTAATATCTGGACCTCATTGTCCCACCTGCTGCGGGTGCTTGTGCCTCCTCTTGGGAACACCAACCTCCTTTGGATTTGAAAATCTAACACTGTGCTGCTTCCTCTCTTAACTTTTTTGACTCCATTCTATTTCCTGGTACAAAATAAAAACCTGATGTTTACTTTCATCTTCTATCTTACAGTTCTCACTATTCTATTAAACATTTTATCTCATTTGAGTCTCATGAAAGACAAGATCAATTTTCTTCCAGTTTTACAGATGAGGCTACTGCAGTTTAAATAAGTTCATAAAGTAAAAATACTGATTTATGATGGGAACCTTGGCCTCTAACTACTAATTCAGTGTTATTTTTGCTTAACTGACTTTCCCCCTTATTTTTTGAAACATGAGAAAAAGAGTATATTTTTTTTCCTCATTAGAAAAAGGGAAACTCTCTACATAAATGTAGTTTGGGTCATTCATATACAAGAAAACCCTCTTACTCTGCAAAAGGACCTGGATTTTCTAGTTTCTAAAGCCCTGTATTGTTTTTTTTGTGGCGTTCATGATTCATAAGTTGTAAGCAAAAGGAAGAAAATGATAAATGGAATAAAAATGAGTAAGCAAAGATCCTAGGAGAGATGAAGTCAAGAGTTTAAAAACTGGAGAAGCCTGTTTATAAGATGGACTACTTTTGCATATCCTGAGGACATTATCTGTGCTATCACTCAGGATATTTTAACCAGTGCTTTTACACACTTGCCTAATCTTGTTCAATGCTTAAAGGCACATACGGGTGGCTCCATCTTCTTAATATGGTTCTAAGAAAGCCATAACATTAGAGACTGAGTAGCTCAAACTTACATTTTAAGAACGAGAAGAATCTAGCCTAGAGAAATTAAATGGGCTACACAAGATCACGACACAATTTATTTTGAGTCAGGACTACAATTTGGATTTAAAAGGTATAGTTCAATACTCTTTCTATGTTTGAGTTAAAACATTAAGCTTTCAGTTTGTAAGAATGCATTTCCTTGGGACCCTCCTTAGATCAAACGAGTCAGAAGCTCCAGAAGGTAAGGCCCAGGCATCAGTCATTTTTCTGAATGCAGCCATCGGTGAGAATGAACATGTATACAGTCATTGAATAAAATATTAACTGTTTGCACAAATACTGCCTTACAATGTGTTATAAAATAAAGTATAATCTTATTAATGCAGAATTTTATTGGGAGCTATTTTCTAAGTCAGATACAGAATAGGAGTAATAAAAACTTAAGTTGTTCTTGTTTTATTACCTTCATTAGCAATGTTTTACTTGTCCATTAGTGATAAGGCTAACAAGTGAAAAACTATCAATCATTAAAAAAAAAAAATCAGGCATTTTAGTGACATTCCACTGGTTTTCTAAATGTTTTATCTCCAGGATATTCATACATTAGGTAATCTTCTGTACTGTTTGTTGATATTTAGATGTAGAAAGTAATTTTTATATCTTTGAGGAGATTGAAACACAAGAAAGTCTCATGCTAGAGAATCTATCACCTGAGTATTCTGCTACTGAGAATGTTAACATTAACATTTATAAAAATACATAAATTCAAATGTAATCATAAAATAATTATGCAAATGATTTAGCAATAAATTCAAATTTCCTCCGATTAAATATATTTATTTAAATGGCTGCTTTGTGGTGGCAGGATACATAAAATGTTTGTTAAAAGAGCAAGCCTAAAATGTTTATGGAATGATTGGCTTTATGAAAGTTAGTATTTTAACTGTAAAATGTTGCTTAAGGTGTAACAACATCAGTGTAGGCAATACAACTAGGTGTTAGCTAAACATGAAACAGCAGTACTTCAAATAGCTGCATTCCTGATTCATCATCGCTACGTGTGTAATTAACACTGTGTGGGTTTGTACAGGAGGGGAGGTTCTTCTATTATTAGGGCATAGCTCATGGTATGGCAAGAATAGGAAGTAGTAGCTTCAGAATTGGTAAGGTTCCTAAGAGCAAATACTATCTGGCTCAGTTTTAAATTTTTGTGATTGTTAAATGATTCTATGGATGAAATTCATAGACGTCATTCCCGATGTGACGTTTTTAGAATAAAATGTTTCTATAAGCACAATGAATAATGACAAATGAAGATTAGTGAATGCTTTGGAGATGCAAGCCGAAAGTTTGACACACATGATTTTCTCCTTCACAGGGAAATAACATAGAAAGTCCTTCTTAAGGAAAGAAAATAAAGATTATTAGCAAAGGGCTGTAAAAGCTCTTTGAAAATAATCTGAGAATAAGCAACTCTGGAAATGTGGATTTTAATTAAAAAATATACAAGAGCGTGTGTATAACAAACCCTGCACTATAGGTGCATTAAATATTTATACAGCATGAAGCAACTTGGTGCTGTGTTGAAGCCTGGAGAATTGTAGTCAGGCTGTCTGGTTTGCTTCTCTGCTGGCCATTTTTGAGCTGAAGTGTCTTGGACAAATATATGAATCTTTTTTCCTTTAGTTTCATCTATAAAATGGAAACAAAAAGTATTTATTGGATTATTTTGAGGAATAAATATACAATTTTTAAAAACTATCTAATGAATTAAGAATGCTAGGTATGATTATTAGCTGCTATTATTAGTCTGGCATATCTCATTTATAAAGTACTATTATCAATACTTTCATGTTCATTTCTATTAATAGTTCTGAATATAAATAAAATAAAAAATAGGAGAAATTTTTTTGATGAATTCACTCATTAAATTGGTTAATTGGCCATTCACCCAATATTCAAATGATGTACAAGTTTTAAAATACATTACAGTCATTTTAATTTATAAAAATCCTTCAATTATTAGGTTAATTTATGAGGAAATACAATTTACTATTCAGTAGACTTTAAAATTTTTCTTAGTTTTTGTTTTCTTCTATCCTTTAAATTATGTATTGAAAGAGAAACAAAATAATTTTCCTTTTGGAATTGTTAAAAGTGTTACAAATGGATTAGTCCACAGGATAAAGACTTTTTCCCATCCCAAATCCATGATAGAGTATATTAAAATAAAGAAGAGTATCATTAAAATATATGCTTCTTTATTTTGCCTCTTATTGGATTAAAAGCTCTTTGAGTTCAGGGTTGCACTTATATATCTATACAACAATGCCATTATAGAGATAATCAATAAATAGTTGCTGAAATAGTAAGTAAATGAGACATTTACCTAAATAGCATTGTAGTCTGTTGACTTTGGGTAGAAATACAAGAGTCACTGTCCTACAAAAACAATGGGGAAATATGGTACACAAAGTTTGCTTGGAAATTTGTCCTTCATTATTTTATAAGACATTATTTAATTTATAATACATAATAAAATGATCTTAGAAGACATCTATTTTTCATTCAAATGAAACTTTCTAAAAAGCCCTTTATTGTTAATATGTGGCTAAACATAGAATAAATACAATTTTTTTTCAAAGAGTAGCATCTGATAGAAAAAGAGACATATTCAAAGTCTCATATTTTGAATATTAACAATCTGTTTGTCTGTTAATTTAACAGTCTGTTTTTTTTTGGGGGGGTACTGTGGATATGCCTCCAGTATACTAAATGCTCTCTTCAATAATGAGCTATACCTCTTATCCTCAATACCTTAATTATATATATAAAAAATCCAATACTGTTTTATGTCAATGATTCTTGTTAATAACTAATGAATGACTTAAAACACTTTGTGTTTTGTAGAAACTAATTCACTAAAGTAGAATTATGCTACTAATCATGCTACTAGTACTCAGTTTTTCAGTTAGAAAAGCAGTAATTTCATAATAAATGACAGCTGCAGTCAGAATAAATGCTAACTTGAGGGAAAAGGCAAGATATAAAAGAACTGTAAAGTTTTATAAATTTTTGTCTGGCTGTCTTGACAGAGTGCAGGGCTCAATCTGGCTGCAGTCTGTTATGGAGGCTGCTCAGGGCCTATACATGTAGGCTTTCAGTCCAGTATTTTAAAATTTTTCTCTTTTTAAAAGAACCCCCTTTAATGTAAGAGATTATTTTACAGACTTCCCCCAATAGTGCTTATATGTTTTTTTATGTATCGATAGATAAAAAAACACATGCCAGAAAGCCACCATGAATTCAGTATCTATTTTTAAATGAAAACATTTTGTTAATCACAATAGATTCAATATACTTTTAAGAATAATACTATGTATGAATATTTAATCTGTAGAGATTATATTTAGATTTACTCACAACTTGGAAAGAAATTCCATTAACTCTCAGATAGGGAACTGCTGATTTGGCCGATTTCTTAAAGTCATTTGTTAGTTGGAAAATTTTATATGGTTTATTTATTTTCTTCCTGAATTGTTCTATCCTCAAATATGTTTTGTGCCTTTAAGAGTAAATATGATTGTACTTCATAGTATGTATATGTATTTAAAAGGAAGATTAATGAAAATTGTCCAATTATTTAAAAAAAAAAAGAAAGAAGACGACGAATACTATTTTGCGGAGGCAGTGGCAAATCCCTGATGTGTCATGGTGGAGTCATTCTCAAAAACTAATGGCTAGAAAATTGAGTAAACATAGACCCAATAAAGAAAAGGTTTCTTCACACCATGTAAAAATCAGCCTGTAGAAGAGCACATTGCTGTGGAAAATTTTGAGACAAGCGCAGGGATTTTTTTCACGATGATGATATCTTATGCTGGCAGGCATTGGCTACAAAGTGAAAAAATTCCTCCCCACATATCAATACCATAGAGTTGACTGTTGCCAACTGTTGTCACCATGACCCCATTCTCCTCATTGCACTCCCACCCCATCCTTTTGAACATAAGGTACAACACTATATTTGATGAAAGGAGGCATTAATCCGATCCCATGAAGTCTTGCCTGTCACTCCTTGCAAGTACCTGCAGGTGTCACTGTGCAGAATAAGGAAATGATCCCAGTTGACACCCAATTCTTTGGAATTCTGTTTTCATTCCTCAGGCACTAGAGCTTTTTATTTTATTTTTCAAGATCCAATATGTAGGGGGGAAAAACAACACAGTTTGTAACCAGCAATCCCTTTTCCTAATTCTAAATTACAAAATTTAGGATTCTGATTAATGCTCCATAAAACTGTACCCCATTGCCAATATAATCTTTCATGGCTGCATTTGTTCTTATATAAAAGAGTAATTAAGTGAGAAGTCATTTATACCTAGTTAGAAGACTTAGGGACCCTTACTGTTCTTTGGTTCACTTAACTCACAAATATTGATCACTCACCAAGAACCATCATCTTAAGAATCACTGTTTAGATACAGTAGTAAATACTGTTAAGGAACACTAACTTTGCTAGACACTGTACTAAGCACTTTCATTATTTCCTATGAGTTAGATACTATTATTATTCCTAGTTTACATGTGAGCAACCTGAGAGAGATCAAATAATAATTCAATGATTCACAGATACCCTAAATCTTAACCACTAAAAGATAGATGAAGTATTTGTTTCCAACAAGGGAGTTTCTGGGCATTAAAGGACCTTGGAGTCAGTGACAGAGAATAATAATGATGATGATGATGATGATAATAATAATAATAATAATAATAATAAATTAAAAGTAGAAATAGGTAAGGAGTTAATAACATCCATTGATTCTGTTTTCTAGCCAAATATGTTAGCATATTGCTAAATTGACTTTCTTTAGAACCTTCAAATAACTATGATAAAAAGCAAGACAATTTATGTGTATGAACATATCTGAACACAGGACTTACACACAATAGAGGTTGCTTTTCACCAACAGTGTAGTATCGGATCCAGAAATCTGTGAACTTGGGAAAGGTTAAACATTAAAAGCTGGAGATCAGATGAATGGAGATCCCTGTATATTCAGGCTCATTGAGAACCATGAAAATTTAACTAGGTTTGACTAGTTCCCATAAAGGGCAGTCATTCCCCCAAAGTGTGACTCCATAAGCAAAAGCTGATTGGAATAAGCAAAGGCTTAGCGTGTTTTCCAGCCTGGTTGGGGTGGGACCATTTGTCAAATTTGGGAGAGCTGAGGTTGAGGACTGATGGGGTTCACCTTGTGTCAGGCCTTGTCCAAAGGCAATCGAATTTTGTACAAAGAGTGACAGGATTGAGGAGACGTTAGGGGGAAATGATTTCCAAAATAGCAGGCTGATAGAAGGTGAGTAGGGCAGGAAAAAAAAAATAACGTGGGGTTTTCTTCGTAATTAGGAGACATTGAGATGATAAATGCCTGAATCATGTTTGAAGCAGAGGAGATGAGAAGGAAGGGTATCTGTGAAAGGCATTTCTGGGTGGTGGTGTGTTTGCATGGGAGGGGAGTGCTTGAGCTACTGACAAACTTCAAGTATGTTCATAAACAGGGAGTTATCGCTGCTGAAGTTAGTAAGTCTCTCTCTCTCTCTCTCTCACACACACACACACACACACACACACACACACACACACACACAGGGCTCTCCAAAAGCATGCACTGGAAACACTAGCCCTGATTCAAGTTATGTCTGTCACCCACAGCAACCAAAGCCACCCACTACTCGGCAGGTGACCCCAGGAAGCAAACCAACGCATCTGGTTCATGCTCCCCACCTCCTCCTGCGGGAGTCGGAGTTTGAGGATGGAAAAGTTTGGGGAGTAGTCTCTGGCTACCCAGAGGACATTTTTCATTCCTCAACCACTACTCTCAAGTGCTCCAGAGAGGGAGGATGACATCCGGAGAGTCCAATGGTCACCACTCCTTCCCCGGGGGCCGAGATTATGAAACTCTGGGCACTTTTTGAACCTCACCCCAATAGTAAGTGCTCCTGTCCGGAAGCACCTCCCCAGACTTATAAAGGTCGCAGCGCGTGGCGGTTGAGCTCACTTGCCTGACAAGCTGGTGTCAGAGGGACACAGTGGACGCATAGACTCTTCAGGCTTTCAGCAGCACTCCAGCTACAGCGCGGCAGCCGATCGCTTCGGCGGGTCGGAGCGTCCCCAGCAGCCCTCTGCCGCCTGCCTCCCACCTCCTGCAGCCGGGGCGCCTGCGCTCAGCCGAGGCTAGCCGCAGGGAAGAGGATGGAGACGCGTCCCACGGGCCTGGTCCAGGCACTGCTGCTCTGCCTAGGTGAGCCTCGCCTCTTCCACCCCCCGCCCCCGAAGAAGAGACGGATACTGAGTCTGTGAACTTGTCACAAGACAAGTACGGAGTTGTCACTAGGCTAAAGCGAACTCCATTTAAATTGAGGCGGGTCTGTCGTTTCCACTGGCAAAGCTGGAGGTGGGGTGTGGGATCAATATTGAAAATGCTTTTCATTAATAAATTAATTATTAGCATATATGTTGTGCATACATTGACATATTTTTATTAGGCAAAATTAAAAGTGGAAAAACTTTGGTTTTTCCAAAAGCTTAAAAAGCACCTTTGATATTTCGTGTTTTGTTCTTCCTTGTTGGAGGGTGGCCTTTTGAGACTAGCCGCGCGCAACAAGAGACCATTTGAAAATAAATGCTTTTCCTCCTCGATCTTGCACCCAGTTTTTTAAAATCTAGCCCGGTTTAGCATCCTGGGGGCGCTGGGGTGTGCCAATGGGAGCTTGACTGGAGCTCCAGACGTGACAGAATTAAAACGCTATCCACGGGTACCTGGAATTGAAGGGCCTTGGGCAGGTCCTGGAGCTCCCCACCGCCCTTTGCCTCCTACACCTGCTGAGTTCGGTTTCCCCAGCAGCTGTCTCCGCCTCCAGAGCTTCGTCAGGCGCTTTGCTCTTGGGGCTGATTGCACCCGGTAGTCTGTAATCACTGAAGGTATTTTAATGTCAGTCTTCCAATTTAAGACACCCCCCCTCCCCCGCATCGCTTAACCCATGGGCAAGGCAAGGAAAAAAAAATCTGAATGTTACTTTCTGGTTTTCCCTGATTCTAAATTTTCAAGGGGAGTTTGGAGTTGGATATGAATATTTCAATAAGGAAGTAAAAGTTGCTAGTCTCACATTCTTCCTGGAATGGCAAGGAGGTGAATTTCCCTCACACACTAACTCTACCTTTGCAGAATGTGACAGTTAAATGATTATTTCGACAGGCAGGCCTTATCTCAGGGTTGAAAGACTTAATGAAATGCATACTATGCATAGTTAGAATTTACACATCCAAGCTCAGGAACATACGTGGAAACTGGATCTGTGGTTTCTGCCAAAACTAAGATAAAAACAACTTGGTAAAAGATTCTCAATAAAAACTATAGCTTTGCTCTCTTTGCTTAGAATCTGTGAAAAAGAATAAAATTAGAAAGACAACAGTCTTCCTAGAGTTAGATATTAACATAGAGGTCAGAATGGCACTATACTTTTTTTTTTTTTCCCTCCACCTGTAAGTTGCATCTGAACAATGCAAGTGTCTGTTCTAGGTATCTCATTGAATATTCTAATTTAAGACAGCAAGAGCCTATGAATAACCTTGGTACTACCCAACCAGCATGTGTTGTGTGTTTTTGTTGTCATGAAAGTGCTTAACTCCTTTATTGCATTACTTAATTATAGTTCACCTATTTCGTCAGCTGCCAAGCCCATTTCCAAATGAGCTAGGTCAGTTTCTGTTTTCCCAGTTTGTTTAGATTTTTCTCTGCCACTAGGAAAGTTCCTGTTTGAAGTTCTATATCAAATCTTTATATTCAATTCAGGTATGCAGGTCTTATAGTTTTAGTCCTTTTTTATATGGAATAAAAGGCAAAGGCAATTCTAAAATTGCCTCCCTCCAAAAAAAAAAAAAGATTGCCTAGAAATATTTTCCCCAAACTCTCTTCTATAAAAGAAAGAGATTTTTATTTTAGATCTCTTCATACATTCTATTATTTTTGTCTTATATGTATTTATGATTATGGAAAAATTCTATCCTCCATCTTCAATACATGTAGGTTTAAATTGTTACACATACACACAATCATTTTGACTACTTACAAATTTTTGAAATGTTTCCTATTTATATTTTTGTTTTATAGATTGGGAAATTGAGCCTAATTTTTCATATAAATGATGTTGAACAACTGAAGGATTATAAAACATTTTCATTCATGTTCAAACAGGTTTCTGAACATGTTTCTGAATGGTATCTCCTTGACAGTTTAGTACAACTTCACACAGTAAGAGAGCATTAAGCAGAGCAAACATTCCTTCTAAAAAATAAGAGAAACTGAAATCTCAGTGAGACATTTGGCTTGCTTTCCAGTCCCCTCTATTGACCCTGAGAATTTATGAGCTGCCTGAGTCTTGACACCACCTGAGATGACACATCTGGGCAGAAAACACAATGACAGGCCTCTCCTGTCTGGATTTTGACCCCATTTGCCCTCTGCATGGTCTTACCGTATTAGCAGCTAGGGTAATTGGAGTGTCTGGTTCCCCACTGGAATGCAAATCCAGGAGTAGGGAAGGGAACTGAAAATTACTAAACGCCTACTATCTGCCACACATGAGTGTTAGATGTGTTGCATACATCACCTCATTTGTTCTTTACACAGTAGGTGTAGTTAGCTTACTTTTGACAAATACAGAAATGAAGACTACTTTACAAGGATTTGGAGTAAATTGCAAGGTCATTCTTTAAAAATGTGTAAGGAGCCATTGGGTTAGTGAGAGCATAATCAAAATAAGAAGTTCTGATAGAGAAGTTCCAGAGGCATTTGGGGCCACCCCAAGACTTGGAACCTGTTCTAGGGGCAGCATATATACAAAAATGGGCTTCCTGACCCTATTCAAAATGAGATGCCAAAGACAATATGAGCATTCTCTCAACTTGTACTCAAAAATGTTGAATTTTTAGTGTTCATAATTTTTATCAATATAGCTCTTGGATATGATTTTTATTAAAAGCAGTAACTGAATTCAGTTAACTAAGGCCTTTATTTCTATATTTTCCAAGCTATATTATGTAAGGCAATCAAGGAAAAGGATATCTTATATTGTTTGTATACCTAGTCTGTTTTATATAATTATGAATTAAATAAGTATCAATAAAAGGACCATGTTGGAATCTACAGCCCATTCCTACTAATTGTGAGAAAATAGATATATTTCCTTTTTAAAAAATTCAATACTCATATAGTCACTTTGAAAAAAAAATTAAGTGTTTTCTGCTCATCCTCCCATTTTTTTTGCATAAGAATCTCCCATTTCCTGACAAGAGATGAAAATGTCAAGTAATAAATCCTTCTTAGAGAGACTATAAATTAAGGTATTGTTTCCGTCTTAACTCTGAATATAGGCCTATGCAAATTATCTACTGATATGGCCGTAACTGCTGTTGGGAATATTCCATTGGAAGACAATGGGAAGGTTCCCCAAAGCTGCAATAAGGGAGATCCTCAGGGAGGAGTAGCCTGACAGCCATCACTTTGGTATGCTAATTCTGGAACCTTTGAAAAAATGAGGTAATGCAACAGACTCAGTATCCGCTGGCAGTGCAGTTTATGTAAGACTGGGTGTCTAGTTGCAGAACAGATAAAGGTTCAATGCCATTCTAGGTTAAAGTAATGATTTAATTAACTAGCATACTATTTAAGTTAGTTATTCATAACGAATTGATTCTTGTCCAGGAAAAAAAAAATATGTTAGCCTTGTCAGAGCACAGTGTGAGTCTGTATCTAAACAAGCTTAGTGACAGCATAAAAAACAAAAACAGAACACAAAAACCATCAGTATAACCTGTTTGTCAGACGGATGATTAGATTTATTCTATATTCAGAGTTCTCACCACTATTTCTTGACTGAACCAGCTGTTCTTTGAAAATGTACATGAGAAGGAAAATATTTCAAGAGTAAGCAGTAGTTTTAAAACTCAATTCTGTTGCTTCTTAGTCTAATAATTTTTCTTCCCTTTTATCCACATTTCTATTGGTTCTTATAGACTCTATTCAGTGATGTTATGCCTACCAAAATTCAAGTGTATAGAAGTGTGTGTGTGTGTGTGTGTGTGTGTGTGTGTGTGAGAGAGAGAGAGAGAGAGAGAGAGAGAGAGAGAGAGAGAATAAAAGAGAGATTACTGAACAGTGATATGATTGAATGATGGATATAGCCAGTAGGAGAAAGAGAAAGGGAATTTAGAGTAATCTAATTCAAATTCCATCTCTCTTTCTATACCATCTCACTCTCTGGTTTGTTTTTAGAGGTAAAGAAACTCAGTTGAAGGAGAATAAATAAGTATCTGAGCTAGAACTAGATTCCACATCTCTTGACACTAATTAAGGTGTTTTTGACTTTGATTGTATTGACATGACCTGGACAATTCTTTGCTGTGGGGGTCTGTCCTGTGCATTGCAGGTGTCGAGTAGCAACCCTGTTTTTTACCCACTAGATGTCAGTAGTTCCCCCCAGTTTTGACAACCACAACCATCTCCAGAGATGGTCAAGCATTCCTGGTTGATAAAATAGCTCCTGGTTGAGAACTACTAATCCAATGTATTTTTTAAATAGTCATAATCATTTACACCCATAGTTCACAGTTTGAATAATTAGCCCTTAAGTTATGAAGACAAATAAAATTAATAGTAAGTTAGATACAAACACAAATCAAATTCTACTTTTTTTAAAAAAAATCCTGCTTTGGGGTCTGAGAATGTAGCTTAGTGGTAGAACACTTGTCTTGCATGAGTGAAGTCTTGATCCAATCACCAGCATCACAAAAACAAACAAGAAAATCGGTTTAGCAATTTTTATTGCTGATTTTAGAACCATTTGCATCTAATAAGGATGACTCTTCTTTATGATGGGGTCATTAATGCAGTCATTGCCTTGCTGATTTCCTCATGTTTCCTATTACAATTATACTCCCTTGGCTCTCACAACACTGAAATTTCTTTTTTTTTCCCCTGAAATTTCTCTTTCTTTTCCCTTGACTATTTCTGTCTGCTGTCTACCACCTATTCCCCCAAGTTCTGTTAGTTTTCATTAGAAACTATTACCCTGTAACTTTTGAGAGACTTCCTTGACTTTAAGATGTAATCCCTTCATATGACCTTCACATAGATATAATCAATTCCATTCTTATTCCTTTACTCCAGATCTGTATTCTCAACTACCTCATATATTTAAATATTCAAACTCCAATTCATTTACCCACGTCCTCTCTTCATGC